TGTGCGACACACTTCTTACAGCCGTCGTTGGTAGTTAAGCGATAGTGTAAAGAGCAAAAAAAAAAAGTAAACTATTTTAAAATTAAAACTATTTTAACGTTGTACAATACACATTACTAGCAGAGTACACCTCTGTGCACGTTCAAAAGTTGTCTCTGGACGTTAAACTGCTATTGATGTCAAACTGCATTATTATCCAAGGTGTACGTTTATGCTATATTCGTTAAGAGTTTGTAGAACAACCTTTTTAAAAATTAGGCCTGTTGCCAACAAGTTCTAAAGCTGTAAAACATTTTTTTAGTTGCGCTACTTTGTCATCAAATAAATAAAGTTTTGTGTATATTTCTTGTTGAACGGACGACTTAATCCCCGACTAAGCTGTACAGAAACTAATCATAAAGGTACACAAAAATCAGAAACATTACTTTGTTCCTATTTATAACTTGACTGATTAATTTTTAATAAGTTTATATTTATTTTTCTTGTAATTAAAAATCAGCGAGAAATTTTGGTTTTTGTTGTAATTGTATACATTTTATAATAAACTCTGTAGCAATCGATCACCTCGGATTCCTGGGTATACTTGAGAATTAACTGGCTACAAAGTTACAAAATTTCAGTAACTTTGTAAATATCCCGTTACTTTGTAGATCCTTGGTGTTTGAGTTACTAACGCTTAAGTATATAATATGTAAACAAAATCGATATTATTACAGGGTCATTTTTGTCTTCACGTATTACACAACTTGACTGTAGATTAAACATTCGAGTTATTATAAAGTTTGTGAAAACCATCTCTCTGGCCTTACGGAGCCTGTTCGGGGCTGTCATTAAATGTTCATAGTTATCTTGATCGAGACAGGTCGTTAGCCTGTCGTTGAATATCTCAAGGCGAATCGAGGCACATTCGGAGTGTCGCTTATAGTGTTTTCGTCGAAATAACTTTGGTCGCACTATTGTTTTTGCCAAACACTGATGTGCGACTTGTGTTGTAGTAATTTTTAAACGTTTGTATGTAAAAGAAAAAAACAATTTCACTGGCCCGTCAAGATTGTTGTGTGGACAATGCGCTGTCGGTTGTCTCGTAAAAAAAAAAAAAAAAAATTAAAATAATAAGATGCTGGAAAGAAATAACTGGAAATCCGTGAAAAGTGCACGTTGCGCAACGTATCGGAGCGGTTGAACTTCGTTGCTCGTGGCCTTGTGGCAAGCGTCATTATAGACTATTTTATAGTATACCGGTTTTCGTGTAGGACATGCACCGATTGGCGTGTGCACTGCTCTTGTTGGCGTTAGAAAGCGCGAAACAAACAAACGCGGAGAAGAAAATTCCATTCGGAAAATGTTTCCAGTCTCTCTCTCTCTCTCTCATTTAATTGCATTTCGTTCCGTGCACATAGTTCGGGGCTTTCGGGAAAAAATCCTCACATGACTGCAAATAATGCAATCTGTGCTGTCAACAATTAACGTCAATTTTTAGCGAAAACAACTGTTAAAAAAAAAAATACTTTTTGAAATTGTTCAAATGCATGATTTAAATATTTACCGACCTTTAAATACTGTTCAGAAGTACTTCGACTTGCCACAGATGAAAAATAAAGAGCACCAAGTACTTCAATACGTTACAACGGCTTTGTTGTAACGTATAACGTAATATTACATAGAATATATTTTTTATCAGACAAACGGCGTTTTTTACCTAATAAGGAACAGACGACAAGATGATTATTTTCCGTTCAATCACAACGAAGGCCGCCACACAACAATATTATATTCTACAAAAGTCCAATTCGATCTAAGTATCTCATACTATCTTTCTCTCTCTCCTCTAGAACCGTCCAAAGCGGGATCGTCTTCGGTACGTTGCCAATATTATATATCTTGGCCTCAATATTGCATTTGTCGATTGCTATTACTACTTACATAATTACATGTATAATACGTATTATTACACACATCAGAACAGACATTATAAGCTTCAACAAAAGAGATTTTTTACCGCGATGACCCTGTTTTCCAGAAATGCAAAAAATAGGCAAAAATTAGTTATATATATTATCTACATTGCGACTTTTGTATTGTTAAACAATAAGTGTTCGAGTTCGATAGTTTTCTTGCGCGCAATTTATTTGCAAATAACTTTCTACATTGACCTTGTTTTTAGCTAATATAACTCCTCGACTTAAATTATAGTAAACTTAAAATTTATAGCACAGTTAAATACTGCACAAACTGTTTCTGTTATTGATTAGGTATATGACCATATAAATGCCGTGTAATTTTTAACACTTATACTATATTTTAATCGCACGCGTCCTTAATTTTTTGATTTTTGTGGCGAATAAAATTCTCAAAGTCAAAACGCTCATCTTGTGCGTATACATTAAAGACAGTTTGGGGGGAAAGGAGTTTTACCTTCTGCTCTCGACCGACGCTCAAACGTTTATCTAGCTTGGAATTAACACTAGCGCAAAAACAGGTCGCAGCAAAATATCGTAAAAAAAAAAAAATTACCCAAAGTGTACAAAATGTAATTGAGATTGGAGAACTATTAATTTCCATCGTGTGTTATTGAAAACGTATATGGATGTCAATTAATATTTACAGTCGACAAAAAAAAAAATTGGTCGTAAAACCGTACCCATTTCATGTATATATATGTACACGCATTCATGTTTAACTTGATGTGCAATGAGTCTTGTAGTACATATATATTATATATATATATAGGTATATATGTACACCTTGTACGTCTGGTACCTAATTAAATTGTTTTTTTTTATCGACCTAGATTATTATTGAATTTTTCGTACTACCATAGTATATTTCTTTGGTGGATTTATGTCATTTTTTTGATAACGAGTACCCAGACAATTTCTACAGTCATTGTAGAAGGTGTCCATTAAAGGACAACATTTCTTTGATTTTAAAATGTAAGTATGGAATTTCAACGGGTTTTACGGTTGTTAAAAGTTAAGCTCAACTGAAATAATAACGATCTAGAATGAAAGTATTGTGCAATAAAAAAAAAACACTGCCGACCCTGACAATAATATCGTGTAATGTGTCAAGTATAACTCTAATATGTATGTAGTATAATAAATTAGAAATGTTTTTTTAAATATACTAAAATCTAAATTAAATTTGGCCTGATATCACCAACATTAACTGGGATAAATAATTGTGGAAAACTTAATCGCTTTTTTTAACGCGTTAAACAAGACATAAAATTGAATGGTACCATCATTCTACTTAATATCAATTTTCTGTACCAGAAGACATATTTTGGTATATTATTTGAAAATAGTATGAACAAATCTATGAACTAGATTTAATCATTAAAAAACATTTATTATGGTCTTGATTATTTAATAATGTGTTCAATGTTAATTTATAAGTTATGCTATTAAATATTATGTTCTTAGTTATCAGGTACTTAAAACACTTCTGGGAAGTATTCAAATATACTTCACGAGGCCCCCTTCGTGTAGAGGAGGCCTCCGTTCCTTTAAATAATATAAATACTTACTCTCTTTTGAAAAATTGAAAAAAAAATAATAAACGGCACGGGGAACTACGATGATAGTAAACGATAATAAGCAGTTCTACAATAATATTGTTGTGTGTATAATTTTGCAAAGAGCTCTATAAAAAAAGTTTGTGTGTGTGTATTATTAATAAAAAGAGAGAATATTGTTATTATTTTTTTAATGTATACAGTCTCAGCTGATGACAACAATAGTAAATGTACGGTCGGTTCGTAGGACCCTCTAAGCCCCCTGGGTGCAACGAAAATTTGATGCGATTAATAATATGTATCTCGGTCGTGTCCCACATACCTGGGCCAGTGACGAGGGGGCCAAATGCCTGCAGGATGGAAAGTGTAGGTATACACACACACACACACACACAGCACAGAGTGTATGGTTGTGCGTTTTATAGAAAACCGGTCATATGGCCATCGAAAATAAAAAAAAAATTACAATCCAACCGTAGTTTATACTTTGTTTTCATTTTACTATAAATATATTCAAATCTTTGTACTTAAAAAATTATTAAAACTTGAGTTGGATATTATATTTACACTATTTACACAACTTGCGGTTACTCCCACTTGAATAGTTTGACTTGTCTGTCATCTTTGGACTTATTAGTAAAAAAAAAAAAATTATATTCAAACAATAGTTGACAGGTGAAAAAAATGATTGTATAAGAAAGGCCTACCAAAAATCATGTTATGTCGACTAAATTAAATGTTTAACTGAAAATTCAACAAAGTCAACTACATGAAATTTTGTTTGTCATCTTTTTTTTCGATGTAAATTGATCAATGTCATTATGGTATGTGGTACTTTTAGACTATAAAAAGTATATTATTATAAATTGTGAAACACCAATACCAGTCGAGATCCCAAACACTTCTAACCCCATTCCAAAAAAATATTTTTTTGAGTAGGGTTTTTACTTTTTATGAAATTATTATTTTATGAAATATTTTAAATGAAAAAAAAAATGAATGGTTGTACTACTGTCGCGGTCTGATGATACGTTTTATTAATGTGTATTAGTTACACCAAAAAAAGGTATATATATAGTAAAATGACCAACTTTAAATAAATAAATTAAATTAAATTAAAAACTTGTGAAATTTTACTAAGTAAAACTTAACACTAAAATCATTTTATTCTAAGTTTTTGTGGAATTTAAAACTTAAAAATATTTTAATCGTGTTATTTACTGTTAAAAATCTAATTTTAAACATAATTATATATTGCCATTTATTGTCTAATGTGATATTGTTTTACCGTGTAATACTTCTTGGCATTTAAGCGGTTTTTTTTTAGATATTTTGTATCAATTAGCTGTAATAGCTCCTAGTGATCTGTGACTCTGCCTATAATTGTATTCAATTGGTCATAATTAATTGTTTGACTAGTAAACATAAAAAGTAAATTCTACATTACGAACTTGACATTAATAAGTCATTTTTTTTTTTTTAGAAACAATGGAACCGAATCAGATCGGATCACCAGAGGAATCACTGTCGGCGGTTTTCTACGATGCAAGACGCAAACACAGATTCACTGTCCGCTATCGATCCATACAGATTGTTGGAAGATGACCTCAGAGATGTGTACACAGACATCAGACAGGTCAGTGATTTGCCCATATTTTTCGGGATGGACCTTATGGCTCGTTAAACGAACGCCTTGAAAAAGGTGAGGTTCATGCACTGCGGTCCCTTGACTAAAGTATTTACCGACATGAATATGTCCTATGTCAGGCTTTTAGGTCTTAAATACCACTAAATGATGTTTATTCATTGAACAAATTGTAGTTAAAAATAATACCTTGAAGCTTACGCAAATTAATCTGTAAATAAATTGTCACGGTCGACGTTTTTAAAAACAGTTTTTTCTTAAATCTTGCCTATATAGAACTTCTAAAAAAACGTTTGCTTCTTAATCCCCTTGAAAAAAACACCCACTCATCCGTTACCCAATATACTTAACTGAATCCCCTATAGAGCTTTACCTAAAAAACAATCATTGTTTAAATAGCGGATAGATTAACGATTCTGTTAGTTACATAATATATACTTAGAATTGGGAAAAAATTAACTAAATAGCGAATTAAAACCATAATAAATGATATAACGTTTTAATTTAAATATAAATGTATTCAAATAAATTATTATTTATAGAAACGTTTGATAACTATTTTATTAGCTTTTGCTCCGTTTTAGTACACGATGTATATTTTACTAGGCTCAATTATAACCCACAAACTGGTTGATGTTTATTTGAATTGTCAGTAATTATTCTTACTTCTTAGTACATTTAGTGACGTATAAACTATAAATGTATTAATTATTAATATTGCGACAAATGTAAAGTGTTTATAACACTTAAGTTGGGTTAGCGTTGGTTAGATTTAAGCGTATAAAATTATAAACTTACAAACACTGTGTTTTCAATAAGAAATTGACGTAATAAGCTTTAGTTTGTTTACTTTTGGTCAAAGTATTATTTAATAATTGTTGTTCAAATGATTTATGTTTGGTTCAGTGTAATTGATCTTTTTTCATTTGTTCGTCGCAAACGTTTCACAACAATAATATTTCGGTTTAATGTTTTTTTAATAATCATTGTTCGAATAATTGCGTACGGGCAGAGTTATTAAAAGCCTAAGAATTTTTATGGGCAAGGCACAGCTCGGTAATTCGATTTTGTGTACAATTACTTTCACCACTTATTTACCGGTCGTGGCTGTTAATGTACAACAATTCGGTTACTATCCGTGATTATTGATTTTCATACATTCCGCGCGTACGTTGTTCATATCGTTTTACAATAATTATTATTTATTTACTATTATTCTGCGGGGTTTTAGTATAGTATGCACACGCGTACGCCATTACGGCAAATACTCATTAAACGTTACTAAATGATTGTCTAATGTGCAAATACAATTGCGTCAAAGAAAAAACAACGACGACCATATTTAAGTGGATATGTCTCATTAGACTTGTTAATGACAGCGGCTAATATTTCTAGCCTGGACGCAATGAAGGGTTTACACTATGTTGTAATAATAATCAATATCGCCCATAAGAACACGTCATTCAAACCGTAATTCAATTTAATTATCATTTTGATGTCCTGTAAAATTTCATACAAATCTATACCTTCAATTAACCAGCAATTAATTTATCTAATAAAGTTATTTAAATGGTACACCATTGTAGGCTTAGCATAATTTATCATTCGATTTAAATAGTATCTTAATTTATGACGATTTAAAAAAACAATATTGTTTTATTTGTTCAATGTGATAGCAGCGGCGGTCGAACTTTGGTATTAACCGCGGTTGTGTGAATGAACTGTGTTATCAGTTATTATTTGAAAATATGTTTAAAGGCACTTTTAATTCAAGTCAATTAAATTTATTCTGGGTTATGTAATAACTAATAACATACTGAAATTACATAGCTAAACAATTTATAAAACTATAATTATAATTATTCTGAGAAGTAATAATAGGTGTATTTTGATAAAATATTCTTATCAATAAATGCCACAGCTCGATTGTATCTATTTATACACAAAAACATATATTAAATAATACTAGCGCATTAGTAATAGTACATTTTAGGTTTGTGGTCATATGCACATTTTCTATCGACCACACTATATAGTTATCAAAGCTATCCTATTTTCGGTAAAAGCGATAGTAGAAAAATACTTATGCATTTTTTCTCATTTTCAGGAACTCGAACTGAACACCAATCAAGATGAGCTACGGACGATAGCCACGTATTACTTCGATGGGCAAGGCAAAGCCCTGAGGCCGATGGTGGCCATTCTGATGGCACATGCCATAAACTACCATACAAACAATAAGTAAGTTAGTTAAAGAAAAAAATTACTTCACTATTTAAAAACTGGTCATCCTCCCAGAAAATCATAACAACTATTGCATTTCAAGGTTAAACGTTATGTATATAGAACTGGCATTTTCTTTTCGAATATCACATCACTATATCTATACACAATACTGGTTAACCGTGATAGTGAAATTTGATCGAAAAAGTAGAGCAAGTCGTTTTGTGTTTATACGGATGGTAACAAAACTGGTTGACATGTTGTACCTACGCAGGAAGAGATCAAGGATACCCAAACAGGTTGCAGTTCATGTAACCTACATGCGTCTTAACTGCATTTAGGTCTAGGTTTTACTATCTTTTCATTATTTTTATTTAACTGTTTTCAACTTTTAAAACAGCTGCTGGGTAACGTAACATGACAACGGCGTATTTCGACATTTTTAAACATAATTTTTTCGGTTAGTATAGAATTAACAGATTTTTGGAAAAATATTTAAACAAAAGTATTGAGCTAGTTTAAATTTTTTTTAAAAGTTTATCATGTGATCAGGCCACTTTCCTCAGGTATAATCAAGATCGTATAACCTAGTCTGGTAACTCCTTACACGGAAAAGTTACCAGTTTAATCTGTTATCACCTGGTTAATTATTAAATTAATAGCAAAATCTGCTTTGCTCTCGTGTAAAGTCAAATTTATCGGGAAAAAATAATTGTATTCATTCGAATGATTATACATTGTGCAATTGAACGTCTGATCAAATTAAACTAAAAACAAGATCATTATATTATGCCAATAAACCTAATGGCCAATGGATAGTAATTATTTATATTTTTTTTTCATAAAATATCTATTATATTGTACTATACCGTTGAAATATTGAGAAACATTCAGGGTAAATAAGGTACTCGTTGTCCTTGACACGGTCGTACTGAGTGCATCTACAATCTAAGTTCAATTTCGTAGGTTTCAATGGTTTTCAAAAAAAATTGCTCATATTTTCGTTAAAAAAAAAGTATATATATATATATATACTAGTTTACAAATTAAAAATTAATTTTTATGCAATTACACGATTAGTGTACATATCAATAATTTAAATACGGCAATTCAAAAAAATCGTTAAACAAAATAATCAATACTTTCTTAGCACGCATGTAAGTTAAAATCCACTTACGGTTACAACTCCGTCGACATGTCCGTTGTATAGCAGTCGTTTTAATTTAATCAAATAAAAAATTATGATACAAAAAACGTAAACAAATTATATTTTTATAATCAGGTATAGTATGTATTCTTAATCGTCCAACGCAATCGAATATCGATTCGAACTATCAAACGACATCATTACGACGTAATAAGAACTATTGTTCAATGGGATTAAATTTAATAAGAGGGGATGGGACATCCTTTAATCTTTAAAATTGATGTGATTAAGCTTACTTTCCTATTTTTCTTACTATTTGTATCATGTTATTTATAAAACAAAAATAGCTCTAGATAGAAAATTGGGCTTTAGATTATTTTTCATTCAACATAACAGGTTTTTAAATATGGATATAATATCCCAATCGTTTTTCAACCACTTCACGCCGGAGTTGGGTTGCGATGCGCCTTTGGCCGTACCGTTGATTTTAAAATATTGTTATACTTATAAATCAAAGGTCGTGCCTACTAATAATGGAACTCTCGCGTGTGTTTTGCAGTAATTTGACTAAAAAACAAAGAGAAGTCGCCATGATTGCGGAAATGATTCATTCAGCGTCACTGATACACGATGACGTCATTGATCAGTCAGACTTTCGGCGGGGCAAGCCAAGTGTGAACGCGCTCTGGAGCCACAAAAAGGTACGTTCTATTACATAAGTATGTCAGACGACTTTAATACGTCGTTTAATCGGACTTGGGTCGAACATGCTACCCATAAAAAACACACACACATTCTATTATACATTATAAACGCCGGCCAATTACCGGTAGCCACGCGCTCTACATACTTCCTGAACCGTTCTTGTTTTCGACCGACGACTTAACAGCGAGATTTATTAGTAATTAACCGGACCGGACCGGACAAGGGACACACAAGACAGGTGGCAATATAGGATTGTTGTGAAACCCGCTGTTGTTGTTATTCATTAAAACTGCACCGTCAAAATACTTAATGTCGACGTTTAAAAGCGCAATATAATAATAATAATAATATAGCCATCTCATTAACAGGCCAAATAGCATGGCAATAAAAAACAATATGCCTACACTTTTTCGACGCGTAAAATTATTATCATTATTAACCTCTGCCATGCACTCGAAATGGTTTTTTGGCACCACCACTATGTCATTGTGTGCTCTTCTAGAATGGTAGATACAATCGTTTTCGTTTGTTCAGCCTTCGAGTTTTATGTCCGATAATATTATAGGAGATATATATATATATAGATACCCAACTACAAATTAGTGTTATATTGTTTGACAGTAAATTAAATAATGATTTCCAATTATTCCCCTTTTTTCAAGTATGTGTAATTCAAAAATTGAAGGCAAAAAACCTTTCTATTTCGTGTTTACACGTCTAGTAATCGTTTGTCGATTATTATATTATCTCTATTAGGTGATCATTATCAGCGATTATTTGATTAATCGGTTACTTTCGAGGGCGTTGACATTCATATCAAATGCTGAAGGAAATCAATTAAGACTGTCCTAATAACAAGTCTTGCAGGATATCTACAAACGAGACTCTAGGGATATCACTAGGATTTAGGTCTGCTTTAAATGTCGCACAGAACACGGCAAGACTGCCAGTGATTAAGGTCAATCAGAATTGAGTGTGTTGAAAATGTAAGACGGTGAACGAGCCCTATTATTGGTACGAATCAAATTATGACCTAAAGTCGTCATTGTTTTATTACCTAACATTGACAAAAACTGGTAATTACAACGTTTTCAAACTTGTACAAAATAAATTCTAGCGCAGCCGCATTATCCGTATAATATTATGTTAATTTAATTGGCGCCGACAAACCGATTTCTTTTAAAAAAACAACAAAACAAAAAAATCCTAAAAGTCTTGGTAGCCGATTTCAACTATTATAAATCAATATATGTCGCTTAGCCAAAACGGTGATGATTGCTTGCTACCAGAATAAGTCAAATATGCTAATTTCGATCATTAAGACGCACACAACGACTCTCCCAATATGTTAAAATCAACAATTCGAGACGCTTGACCGAAAAATTTGTATTCAAAATCTGTACTGAACGTACGCATGCAATACAGTTGCTAGCAAACAAATTCAGAGTTGACCATTTAAAAAAATTATTAAAAAAAAAATCAAAATGCTTCAAAATCAAATTTAATTTTAAATCTCCTATTCTAGAGTTCTTAAAAAAAGGTCAACAAACGTTTAGCCCTGAATACTATAACTATCATCAGAAAAAAATTGGTTTATGTTGTCTGATTTATTATTGTCGGATAGTTTGTACTTTCCCGCAAAAAAACGGACCCAGTTTTAAATTTTTCGAGTATCTGCGAAAACACATATTTTTGATTAACGATCAAACATTTGATGGATTAAAAACAAAATAAAATCTGTCAAGCCTGCTTAAAAACCTGCCGGATTAATGTATTTGAAATCAAAACCATTGAAAAACACAAAATATTAAACGCTATGGTATAGCAATTAATATTAATTGCCTAAGTATGGCAAGTTCCAATAAGGTAGAATTGGACATCACTCGAGATGAACAAGATCTATACGGGATAACAACTACTACAACGTTCCCGTTTCCAGGAATGTTCCCGGTAAAAGAACAACATTGAGTAGAAGTGATCGTTGTATCGGTTCCTAATTAGCTGCCTATTGTGCATCGAGTCGAACAACCGGTTCTATGGTGGTTTTATTTTGCGTTTAAAACGATGTCGAGTGTTTGGTTATATTTTTTTTTTCCAAAATTTTTTTCCGGACGAATTCCTGTGTCAATTTAACAACCGGTCCTCCCCCCCCCCTCTGCGGCGGGATTGTTCGTTCCGTATTTTTCCGGAATCGAATTATTCGGAATCGGATGTATAGATAAACAAAACGAAAAAAATGTACGCCGGTGTTATTATTAAAGTGGTGGCTTCTAACCGTCGAAGAAGAAGACGTTGACGGCGACGATGAATGAAGAAGGTTTGGCACCGTGGGTTTACTTTCACAACGGGCGGAGACCCACTTATTACGGCGCGGTGGCAGATGCCTTGTTGGCATACCACGCGGGTATCGATCAATTTCACTCGGGAACTCAAACGGTTCGAAAGCGGTCTCTGTATTATAAGAAAGTTGTGTATACACACACATACAAACACACTTATTACACACACACACACACACACCACACAAACGCGTGCCCGTATGGTATTCTCTTCGTCTTTAAAAAAAAATAAACGACGACGACCGCGGCCGACCGCGCGGTCTATGTGGTAAAAAATAATACATACCTACTTACATTTACCTATCCAAATGTCAACCGGTCGGGTCTCGAACCGTCGAGTGTGCTATTAGGCGTGCTCGTGTGGCGAGCGCGAAGGCGACAGTGGCGGTGGCGGTAGAAGTCTATGATAAAGGGCAAGGTCGACCAGCCTCTTTCTAGAATGTAGGTAAATGGGGTACCGCACTTGTTGTTATACCGATGGCGTGTAGAGCAATACGTGCATGCAGTTTGTATCTAATCGTCGCTGTCATTGCGTCATCTTTGGACGTTCGTCATCTCTCGAATTTCGTTACAACCCTCCGCTAAAGAGAAAAAAAATTATCAACGTTCCCCACCCTAATGGTTGCCCACCGCACCCATATCGCTGACCTCTATATTGACTATTGCTGTTTAAAAGTTCATCTACAAAAATTGGTATACTTATTATTCCATATCCTCGTTTTTTATTTGACATGGGAACTAATTCCAGATCCTCGCCCCTCATTTAAAATAGGAATTAGTTCCAGATCCTAGTTAGTTTTTTTTATAAATATATACTGGTTCCAGATCCCAGTTCTTCTAAAAAAGTTACAAATTCTAATTCTAAGTTTAAAAACAAAAGATGGAAAAAGATTTCCAGATACCCCAGTTTCTTTAAAAAAAAAAACTAGTCCTCTTTTGATTTCTCATAACTAAATTAGGAATTTAGCCTCTTCATTTCGTTTAAGTAAATTTTTAGTTTTTGTTTTTATTATTATTGTAAAAATAATTGAAAACTTTAAAAACTGCAATTTTTCACTTAGAAATTATTCATAAGTATAAAATAATTTTAAAATTGTCCCAAAAATCACAATCGACACTTTTTAAATGTCTTGAAGAATTCAAATATGTTTTTCCAAAACTTAAATCTAGGTATTTTCATTGTTCGAATTAGAAACATCTCTTAACTATAACAAAAACATATCATATCGGTCGACGATGACTCATATCAGTATTTTGTGATTTGTTTCATAAAACTATTGTCAACTGAATATGAATTCTACCGTTACTCAAATGGATATTCAGGTATTTAACGTTGGGTCAGAAAAACATTGTAATATCAATATCTGTATTCACCTTTGCATCGAAGCTAAAACGTGTGTGTATTACTTGTTACGATAACTATAGTTTTCGTTCAGGTCCTTTGACAAAAAAAAGGAATTATTTCAAATTTCTTGGTATGTAAGTTTCAAAAGGAACCCGGTCCAGACTTGGTACCCGTTAAAAATTCTGGAAATCCGTTTCTTCTCGACACTGAACTGTACATTATGACTTAATCTAGAACTAACTGAATTCCTCTTCGTCCATCAAAGTGCAATCATGCGATTATTATTGTCATTATTTATTATTATTTTTATTGATCCTATGTATGGCGTGCGCCAAGTGTGTGGCGATAGAGAAAGTTCGACGGCTACGTGTGGTAAATGGACTTATATTTGTGTATATACATATATATATATAAATATATGTATATACATATATATATAATATATGTATTGTACATACGTTTAGACAGTCAAAGTATAATATATGAAGCGCGTATGTTTCACAGTTAGACGTTTGTTCCGGAAGGCCTTTCACGCGAATCGCGGCGGCAAAGACACATAAAGTGTAAACAACACAAAATGACGTTTGTTATTATAAGCGTGAAGCTATAAAAATATATTAATCGTTAATCCGCGAGGCACAAGCCAACAATGATAGTAAATCAATAAGTTAAACATAATAATAACGGTAATAAAATATATTATGTCTTCTTCATATATTAAGTTTGTGTTTGTGAAAACTACTGAAATAATTATGTTATAAAAACCACATAAAACGTTCCGATTGAACACTACCTATATATTTTCTCGGTATCTAGAAGAAACGGGGTATAGATGTCATTATAAAACAACCAGCCACCTGATTTATTAGAGTTCCCTTAAAAAAAAAAATAATCCACATTACATACTTAATAGGTCGCTGAATAAAAATCATATTATAATAAGCGGGTGTTAAATAATAGTCACTTGCGCGCAATAAAAAATCGTTTAACATCGATAAACGGTCTGCAAGTAAATCAAACAACTCGGCGACACCTTCTCCGGTTGGTGTTATTATGAATATATAATTATTTATTTATACAACGCGCACACTTCACCGGTTGTTAACCAGCTTGACACCTAATCGAAAGTAATGAACATCATCTGGAATCTTGATTTGACCGTGATTCGAAATCCACTTCTGTTTGACATGCTAATATTAAATCTGTGGTTCCACTGTATCGCGACAATATACCTAATAATAATTTATTACTAGTGTTATTAAACGTAATACAACATTCGATTATATTTCCAAATATAATCGAATATTTTATT